ATACAGAGAAGAGGTAAGCATTCAAATACTTGTTAAACGAATAACTGAATATATTATTACCTCTGCACTATTAAATTTTTATGTCTGTCCTACTTTTAAAAATGTGTGATGCAATAAGAATATTAATATTTACATTATTTTAAATACAATGTAATAAAAATTGTTAGATTCATATTTACAAATATCAAATATAGGTAAATTTATATGATACTAAATATAAAGTTGCGAGTAATGACATCAAAATAGAGAATTTTAAATCAAACAAAAGACACTATTGAAATGTCTTTTGTATAAGAAATATTTATTATAATTCTAATAAGTAGTACTTTTCTATGATCTAAAATCTACTTCTATTTCCAGATCAGTTTTAAAAACAAAAGTATCAATTTCTAACAGGAAATCTCCATCTCATAATCCTGATCACAACATCATTTTAAATATATATTCTTCCGTGCTCTGCAGAGTATTTCAAAATGCTATAAGAATACAGACAAAAATCAATTCGCAGGGATTATGAGAAAACATTTGAGAATTCCATTGAACACTAGTTAGCATATGGTAAAATTACAGACGAGGACATAGGCTGTGTGGTGTTTTTTCCCAATAATTTTAAATTTGTTTCCTAACATAAAATTTCTCCTTTATCTTTGATTAGTCTAAAGAAAAGTTTATTTCATTCCCTTATTTAAGCCAACCTCCATTTTAAAGGGTCATCGCACTGCAAAAGACTATAAATCAGACTAAATATTCTTACTATCTTTTTCAACAAGAAAAAGGTAAGCAAGACATACAGAGTGAATCATTACAGTACGATTATCATTCTTAAAATGCCACTCATGAAATTCTGGTCTTCTGTGACTTCATATATATAGGAGAAGAAAATATCTACACTATCCCTTTTCACTTACAGAACTGCCCAAGATATGGAATAATAAATTATTATGCTCATGGCTATTGCCGAATACATACAATATACTTACTTGTAAATATGTGATTTAGATTAAGTGTTAACGTTCACATTTTTTTTCAGATATTTAAACTTGATAAACATGTGTAAACAAAAAGTCAACTGAATCAGATTCATCTTCTCTGGCAAAATAACTGCCACTGCCACCACCGCTTCCACACTTGCTCTCCTCCAACAACCCAAAAAATGGAGGTAATTCGCTCTCCATTTCACAACTAAAACCTTTAAACGAAACTCTGTAACACTATGTACAATTCTTTACTCACATTGGATTTTAGACGCTGTATTTTAAGCTGAGATATTTACTTCCTGATCTTTCAACAGACTACACAATTTGAATGCTAACATTCAGTATACGTAAAACCTCTTAAAAAACCATCAGCTCAAAAAAAAAATAGGAATAAAAATCTCTCATCTCACCCGTGAAAACACTCACTAGGATGCTTAGGTGGTGGTAGGGTATCCTGGCCTACTGGAATGCTATGCTTTAAACAGGGTGACTCAGTAAATACTGTCTCCCAAAACAATGGTTCTGGGATCGTTATTCTGAACTATACATACGAATCCTGGTAATACAGGGATTTGGTCTGAATGTTTACTGATCCCAGAACATCCTTTGGAAGTTAATTGTAACTTCTTGCTATATTCTATTAAATTATCATCTATTTCATTCCCAAAACGTGGAGAATATGAGCGGTTGCTTAGCTGGGCTCCAATAGACGCGTGTTCCACCCTGAAGGGCAGTAATGGTAAGACCTCTGAACATACAGTTCTCAGGACTCTGCATTCACATCCCACATACACAGACAAAATTATTTTAAAAATCAGATCAGTTTCTCAACACCATGGGTTCCTCTATAAACGAATACCATACGATTGGAGGAAGGGGTACAGCAAAGAGGTGGCTGGAGCATGTTTTCAGTCTGCAATTAAGTTGTGAGATTTACTACAGTGGTTATGTTGTCAATCTAAAATTCATTCAAAACTACTCTTCACAGACCATATTAAAGACAGAGGTGACTCAAATATGACTGAAGTATAAAAGAAACACAAAAGGTTGCAATACAAAGGCACTTTAAATATTAAATATAAAGGCAAATTATACATAAAAAATGAACAGCAAGTCTTAAAGTCTAAAATTCTGTACTTTGACCCACACAAATGTTTCCTAAATCACAAGCGAGTGCGTTTAATATATTTAATAATCTAGTAACTATCACTTATTTAATATGTACTGTGTGCCAGCGATGGTGCCAGGCCCATTATGTACACATAATCTCTTTTAATCCCGACAACACTTCTGCGAAGTACGTACTGCCTCTATTTACCAGAAGGGGAAAATGAGGCTCAGAAATATAATTACAAGTAAAAAGAAGAACCAGCATGTGGAATCACAGAGGTCTGACTTCAAAATCTGTAACTTTTATACAGCACCACATCGCCTCCCTATAAAGTTCAGCAATCCAATTGAAAAATTTTCTCCCAAAATTTTTAAATTAATGTTTCAGTAAAAGATTCTCTGACATTTCCTTCAAATACTAAATGATTGTATTTGATGAGTCATCACTCATCTGCTTATGAAAAATAATCACTTTGTTACCAATCTGTTTAATGGGCTGCAGCTACACGTTTCAGTTTGCTCAGAAAATTCATCTCTCTTCAAAGCACTCTGGCTTTCCACTGTGGAAGTCTGAGGTGATTACATTTCATGTCTTATTCCCAGACGTTACAGGCACTGTTTAAAGATGACTGTTTTGTGAGAGGACACACGATTAAACTAGATTGTTATATATAAAATGGACAGTATGAGCAACAATAACAAAAGACTGGACAACAACAGAAGGAAATCAGAAAAATACCAGCACAAATTTGAACTCTTACCTTTCTTGCCCAAGTCAGATATTTTATTGAAAAGAAAATTACAGTACTTAAAAATCCAAACAAGGACAATTCAGGATTAAAACAAAAAGAAAAGCTCAAGGAGCCCACTGTCTTCAGTAATATTTTCAATACAAAAAACACAGACCAGGGAAACAGTTTATGGCCTAATGCCCTACTTCCATTATAAACGCACACATATAGTATATCTCCATCCAGTGAAACTTAATCACCTTTTTACAATTTAGAGAAGGAAGGCAGCTTTTAGTATGGTTAAACCATGTATCATCAATACCATGAAGCTAACCTATCAGTTGTAATAGCTTCTATAAAATACCACAGTTGAGATTGCAATAAGCCTAGAAGATGGGCTACAAATCCCAGCTATGCTCAAGCAAGCAGTGAACCAAAAATAAAAATAGGTAAAACTGAACCAAGAACTAGATAGCATTCATCTAGATTCATGACTGGTAAAGCAAAGTTCATAGGCCAAGGTTTTAAAGTGACTTATTCAGATCTAAAAGACAGGCATTACACAAAATAAAATAAAAGCATTTACGTAATTCAGAAAAGAAAAAAAATCATGAATTTTCACGCCAAAGAACACAGCACACAAAAGCTTACAATTACCAAACACCACATTACTATACCTTTAAAACATCAGTTTAAATATGCGATGGTAAAAAGACTCACAGTTGTACTTTACCATTTTTAATCTCTCCAGTCTACAAAAACAATCTAAAAGGAGATCTGTTATACATTTCAACTCAACAGATCTGCTGAAATCTTTCAGATTGCAGTAACTTTAGGTAAAGGCAATGTCAACTTTAAGTTTCTTTTCCAATCGTCATATTTAAGTTGGCCATTAAATGCTGAATTAACAATCTATATAATAACATAAAAGTACATGTATTAAATCACACTGTTTTAATCAATTACTGGAACTTAATAAAAAAGTTAATCACCCTAACAAAACCATTTTGAAGAACTCAAATGGCCTGAAGGTAGTATCAACTATACCATCAATAAAAATGTTACATTTTCTACCAGCTTGCTGAAAATGAGCTCATGCAAATATTGCAGATACTCACAGCGACACATATGGTTTACCATTCTAAGGATATGCAGGCAGCTCTTTCTTTTAAATCCAACATGATTCAAAGTCATACAGTATTTGTTAAATACCAGCGTTCACATGATTTCATTAGCTCTAAGCCAAAAATCACAATTTTGATTGGTTTCGGGTGGCAGACAAAGCAGACAATTAAAATGTGACAGTGACTCTGCTAGTACAAACTAGTGATCACTCTGGACAGTTATCCCTATGAAAGTTTTCATTCCTACAACCGAGACCATACCATAGAGTACAATGGGTTTGCAATACAGAGCAGATTATCCAAGTAGAAAGCAAGCTGAATAAAATACAAACTCTGGCAAAGATTATCAACCTTGCCTACTCCTCATCTCAGCCTTGTTAAAATACCCTGAGTAAAATGCAAATCTTATAAATAATGCTGGCTATATAAAACTCCTCTAAAAATGATCCATCAGTGTCAATGCATCACAATTTTTATTTACAACAAGATATGTAAAAATTAATTCTTAACCAGTCACAATATAAACATTAAGGAATGCTTAGGTTAGATCAGAAATTTTTTAATTTTCTAACTTTTTGGCAGCATTTTGGCACAGCAAGTAATACATAAAAGAATTCAGTGTTAAAAAAAACATAAAAAAGAAAAATATATAAAATTTACAGTAGTTTCTACCCACCCTGGGCCAACCTAGATGCCTAGAAAGCCTCCCCAGTCAGGTTCACTTCTGACTAAAAGGAAGAATACCAGTCCTCCAGCAAAAACAGCCCCATCTTTTCATCAAAGAGGCTCTCACTTCAATGATATTCCTCCAGGGAAGAGGACAGGAGCCAGGTTCCCTCGAATGTCATTCCCCAGATGTTCAAAACGTAACTAATTTATTAGCATTAGAAGATTTGGTTTATAGGGGAATCTCACTGGTCCAGTTTGTAGCCTACAAAAAAATGGATTATTTTTAAGTATAACATTAGAATATACATAAAGGATGAGGATGTGGCTTTTTATTCCATAGAAATGGAAACATTTCCAAACATGACAATTAAATAAAAAAGCATGCCTACCATTGAAGTTGGGGTCCCTCCAGACTTTTTCATATTCTTGGAAGGTATTCCATGAAGGCGACTGAGTCTAGCCTGGAAACCTGTAAAACCAAAGTACTCAGTTTAGGAGATTCTACGACCACTGGAGCATATAAGAAGACCCTATCGATACAGAATTAAAAGTACGTGTGGGGAAATGGAAACACACCATGAATACGAGTGGGGAAAACGTAAAACTCACACTTAGAAGATCTGAAGCAGTGCCTAGTTGGGTTCTAAAGCAGTCAGCTCTTAACTATCCATTGTTCAAGCGCTAGGGTATTATCTAGGACCTTTCTGTTCTCCCAATTCACCTTCCCACCATTTGGACATTTTTGCAATGGGCCTAGCAAGAAAACAAGTCAATTTTGCTAATAATTTGAAAGCATGAGAGATGTAGTGGCTGAATTAGTGGCCGGCATGTTGATATTTGGCATCTTGTATTTCGATTGCTCAGTTTTCATTTTAGCCTAGCCTCTTTCTTATGGATTTACCATAAGACCATTGTATCCACCAGTCAGGCAGTGCTACTGACCTCTTCTGCCTGGATGCGACATAAGGGGGAAAGAACCAGTTAAGATACTTTCAAAGACAGGATCTGGTACATGTTTGTCTAGCTCGGTCGGATCTTCCTTCTCCCACCAGGGTATGACTCCGGTGACACCACAGGCCCCGCCTGATTCCTTCTCGTAGAACCAGTCACTCTGCTCATCATCACCTGTACAAACACAACAAGACCCCAACGGTGCAGTTTTATCATCCAAAAATTACACAATGACGCCTGTCAGATTTAGCAAATCGTAATACAGGACATCAGTTAAATCTGAATTTCAGATAAACATCAAGTATTTTTACTATAAATATATCTCAAACACTTGTATTAAATTTTTACTATAAGTACTTCCAAATATTGAATGGGACATACTTACACTAAAAATTACTTGTTATTTATCTGAAATTCAAATTGAATCGGGCAGCCTGTATTTTATCTTGAAACTCTCTATGTGAGTTACACCACAGCTTCCCTTCAGAAATGCTTTTAAACAGTAAGACAAGCATGGCCATCAACAAACAAAACGTAAAGTTTTAGAACCAATTTTTAAAAGTGAAAAACAATAACAACAGTAGGGAAATCCATTTAAGTGTCGACCCTTTTCACATTAAGAAAAAACAAGCCTTAATCTCCTGCTGGGAATTAAAAGGTATAAAACGGTGGAACTCGTTCTTTGCAGCTGATAATGGTATATAATTAGCTTAATTTCATGATTTGTATGGAGTGTAAAAGGGGAAACAATCAATGAACAGATGTGACTAAATGAAATTAATCTGATTAAGTTCATTAAGAAATAGTTTTGAAAAAGTTGATTTCAAATGAAAAGTGACAGTACAACAGGGTTTCTGAAGAAACTGCACTGGGCTGCGACAAGACAGTTATTTTGAAAACGCCACACTTAACTTTTGGGAACATCCGTGAGTGTAACCACAAAGTAATGATCAATTTAAAATTCAGTCTGAAATACGTCCATGGAGTAAATTAACAATGTTTTGTTTTTGTTTTTTTTTAAAGGAATATTAAAGAGATGTATTAGGAGACAAAAATACAGAGGAAGGCAGATGCCTTTTAAGAATAGGAGACAAACAGCGTTCCGAAACATGGTCTGCTACACAGGAAGCCTTCTCCATGATTCTGAAAAAACACCACCAACTCTGGTTGCTAAGAAGCCCATCACAACCGCCATCAACTTCCCCCATTGGGAGAAAGAGATTCTTGATTTCCGAAATCTCTTACTGAAAATATTTTAAAAGGCAAATTAAAAAAATCTTCAGCTTTGATTAAAAATAACTTTACGGAAAACAGCAGTATTTCAAATTAAAAGGGAGTGAAAAATCTAAAGCACTTCGAAAACCAAAGTCACCAGCTTGTTTCAATTGAAAACCAAAAAAACCCGCTGCCGTCAAGTCAATTCCGACTCATAGGGACCCTACAGGACAGAGCAGAACCGCCCCGTAGGGTTTCCAAGGAGCGCCTGGTGGATTCAACCTGCGGACCTTTTGGTTAACAGCCGTAGCTCTTAACCACTACACCACCAGGGTTTCTAAGGCTAATACAAATTAATTAAAAAAAAGAATAAGCTCCCAGAACTTAAATATCAATATTTATAGAGAGCCATATTAAAATTTCAAAAATCAAGTTTAAGCACAAGAAAACAGAGGCTGTCACTTGAAACTGACTACCCTACATCGTGATTCCCATGGAGACAACACTATTATAGTACAAGGAGGTTGATTTTGTTTTACTCTTAATAAAACCAAGCCCATTGCCTTCTAGTCGATTCTAACTCATAGCGACCCTACAGGACTGAACAGAACTCCCCGACAGGATTTCTAAGGAGTGGCTAGTGGATTCAAACTGCCAACCTTTTGGTTAGCAGCCGAGCTCTTAAGCACTGTGCCACCAGGGCTCCTTACTCTTAATAGGAAGATGAAATCGCTCATCATAACCTGGGCTCTGAAGTCAGACCAATCAGAATCCGAGTGTTTTGTAACACTGGAGAAGTTACTTCAACTCTATTACCCTACTTTTCCTCATTAAAAAAAACGGAATCTCATAGGCCTGTTTTAACAATTATAAAGAAATTAAAGTAAACAAAATGCAAGAAAAGCACATAGCAATGTGAAATACAGTAAGTTACAGTAAAAGCTAACGTATTATTCTAAGCCACTCAATGCTTTTCAACGGCCTGTCAAAAAGTTATTTTTTTACATAATATTTTCATCTTATTTAACAACCAAATTCAATATCCTCATAAATACAACCTTGGGTAGACATCTGTATTTAAACAACCACTTAGGTATATTATCAAGGTAGTCAGACTCACTCTTGGCACCGAAGTCCTAACATATTTCGGTAAAGTTTACCTAACTGTAAAAAAAGTCTGTAGCCTTTAAAACAGTTATGGACCTACTTACTTGGGACAAACAGCTTATAAGTACACAAAAACAAATGTCACATAATTTATTTTACTGGTACTGTAAAGGGGCATAAAGACAGCAAGAAAAAGTGAGAGCCAGCTATACTGTCCTTTTTTACATCAATAAACCATTTATTCATAATTTAAAACAATAAGCATATTTTGTTTTTCCTCTTAGAACTTACTGCCTCCCTCTTGAGTATGCACAAGAAAGGAAGATAACATTCATGGTATCTGTATGTATGTCTCCTTAAGATTTTCATATTCTCTTCCAGAACAAAAACCCTTTGCCATCGAGTTGATTCCGACTCATAGCGACTCTATGGGACAGAGTAGAACTGCCTCAGGGTTTCCAAGGAGCAGCTGGTGGATTTGAACTGCAAACCTTTTGGTTAGCAGCTGAGCTCTTAACCACCACACAGCCAGGGCTCCAGAACAGGTAGCTTCAAATGCTGCCGTGTAAGTGTGAAAAGCTTCAGAATTTCAAAGACTGAACAACAGATCTAAGTTGTAAGCCATTTCTCTTTAATGGATTATAATACTGAATTCATGAAAATCATCTAATTACTTGAAAACTGGATAAGATGAATAAACGTCACACTGAATAAAAATGACAAATGACTTGCAAATCCACCTTTATTAATGCTTAAGCAGTTTTAAATACATTTGGAATCTGGTGGAGAATAAGAACCAGTGTCTTTCAAACTTGCTAAAAGGGACCAAATTGAAAAAGATGAAGGTATGTAAAGCTTTCTCAAGGAAGATAACCCTCCCTTAATGTTATCAGCTCCCCGTACTAGCGCTAAGAGATGACCAAAGGGTTCAGTTACTTAGGGCATGAAGACAGGACATCCTTCATAGCATGTAAAGACCAGCTACCACACCAAACCCCTGTCCACTGAGTAATGTGTGCAATCATCCACTCAGAAAATAACTAGAAATAAACACAACTTAAAAACGAAGAGAGAAAACACAGCATTTCAGTACCTTGTCTTCCCTCATCATTGGTAAACAAACCAGCATCAGTGCTGCTGAGACTGCTGGAATCGCTGTAATAAGGAAAAAGAAAGAAACAGATCAAAAGAGCAATTGATCTCTCAGCGGTCAAATTTTAAAGAGACATGGCAGCTCAGAGATAGAACTTAAGCTTGACAAAGATCTGAAAGAAAATAAGATTTTTTTTTTTTTAATCAAACTGCAAATATCCTGGTTCCATTAACTAGAGAGCATATTATTTTTGGCACATAAAACCACAGGAATCTAATGGGACCCTGACAGTAAGCCAGATGTGACTGCGACGAGGTGCTGACACAATTGATGTATTTTATCATCTGCCTTCATCAAATGCTCACTGCTCCTTTCTCATGCCACGCAATTCAGCTTGAGCCGGGAACACCACTGCTCAATAAAATGGGGAAAGTCTCAATCAAAAGCAGGCTAAGCCTTTCTTCGGCACATGAAATACAAGGGCCTGGGGATGAAATTACCTTTCGTAACTACATTTGCAAATATTCTGGAAAAGACATTACTTAAGAATTCACAACAACTCTATTATTTGGCAAGGAAGAAAAAAGTTTACAATGATGATTATTCATTATCTCAAAGTTGTGGTCACTCTGAGGAAAAAATGATCATGACCAACACTAAGACACGGGTGCAGAAGGAACACTTCCATAGATGTTCTAGACTATGAGAGTCAAATCTAACACAGACATTGAAACAAAGAGCCACTCTCTGCCCGATATGCACAAGTCGTCACCATCAGTGGTAACAGAAGCATTACTTACATGATAATCTAGTTAGTTAAAAATACCATGACAACAAGTAAGATACTAAGAGGTTTGGTCTCTAAAGAAAACTGAGTAATGTTCTTTAAAAATTCTCATGTACTTTTCTTTGTACTGTGATTCTTAATTTTAACCAATCAGGAAATCACCTCAGGTGATTCTTTTTAATTAAAATACTTTTTCTGTTAACATGTAGAATTCTGTAAACTGACCCACTTGAAAAAAAAAAAGCACAGTAAAGAAAAACTAAGCAAATCCAAATAAAGTATGGACTTTGCTTAGTAATAATGGATCAGTACTGGCTCATTAGTTGTGACAAATGTAGCACTGTCAGAGAAGATGTTAATAAGTGCGTGCAGGGTATACGAGAAATCTCCACATTCTCTTTGCAACTTTTCTGTAAATCTAAAACAAACGACTCTACAAGAAAAAGATTATTTTAAAAATATACATACACATACACAAAGTGTAAGACGACAGTCTTGTATTTAAGAATTTAAAATTACTCCCTCATACCTGAATTAAATTTGCATTTCAAGGCCATCTATGGGTAAGCTCCCACCTAAATTCTTCCCATTCTGTCTGTGGTCCCTTTGTTTATATTCTTTCTCCTATCTCTTCTCGCCTCCCTCTCCACCTGTCCACACTCTTATTAAAGACATAAGAAAATCATCAATCACTTTCCAGGAGCAGCTCTCATAGTCCTTAGTGATCCTCATCCTACCTGGAGATAGTTTTACACGTATGTATACATGTTTCCTTATTGACATTTTATCTTACTGACATTCATCTAGTTGTTCCATGCACACAGGTGGGATCATCCAGTAGGTAAGGTAAGCACAGTGTTTCCCTTGCTTACCAGATCATCTGTAGTGAACAATTTCACTACAGATTAGTAAACACAAGTAAGCCTGTGCCTACCTTACTTACTGGGCCATCTGCCCCGTCAGGGATTATAAATTTGAAAAGAGGCTTTGATTCTGTAGCAAGGTGCTGGGGAGTTGGGAGAGAGATGCTAACCACATCTAGAAGCAGAATCTTTGATGTGGCGAAAAAATGTGAAATTATTCACTACAGATGATCTGACAAGCAAGGTAAGCACCGTGCTTACCTTTCCTATTGGATAATTCGCCCCTGCATGTATATCGCGTAGCTGCTACTGTGTTCAATAAATCAGAACAAGAACTTAAATATGAGCAAGGTTTTTATTTTCAGCAGCTGGTGGTCATTAAGACTTATCTCCAAGGACACCCCTTCCCACTGCTTCTTTGGTGTGACTCATAACATGGTATTTGGACGAGAAGATACTATGTGAATGTTTGTTGAATAAATGTATGTACACAAATCCCAAACCCTTGCCTCAATCTCTTCATTTCCTATATTTGCTATGATTGAAACCTGGGCATCATCTGAAAGTCTTCTTTCTCATTCATCCTCCAAAATACAGTCAGCATCCCACTGACTGTAACTTTTAACATAACTGCTTAATATTCCGCACTGACTTCCCATCGCCTATATGATGAAATCCAAACTATTTAACAGGGCGCACAAGCCTTCAAGAAATGCTTCCTGCTGTAGCCTCAGCTCCCACTTTATACTCCAGTAATACGAACTACATACACTTCCCCCAATAAACCACATTTTCTTCACAATCCATGTGCCTTTGCACAAGGTGTCTCTTCTACCAAGAAATGCCGTTCCCCTCTTCCTCCCTTGGTCTGAAAACGTCTTAGTTCTTGCTTTAAATCACAGGCCCTTCGAGAAGCCTTCCCTCACCAGTACCTTCCAGCAGCACATTCTACTTTCATCATCTGCTTGTCTGGCTGTTCTAGACTAGCAACAGGGTCTGTCCTATCAGTCTCAGCACGGTGAGCAGAGAGTAAATAGTTGTTATTTAAATGTTTATTAAATCACACACACAGACCCAGAGTAAAATGTTATCTATAAATCAGCTCCAAGGAAACACACAGCTTTTTATATTAGGAAAGCTCTGAAAGTAGTCTCAAAAACATGCATACCTATTAGGAAAATACCTTAAATGTTTAGCAATCTTCCCAAAGAAGAAATATGTACCTAATTTTTTTAAGTAATGGGATAAAATAGTTAAACAGTGTGTGGGAAATCAAACGCCGCCTCTCTGATACCAAATGTAAGGATCAACTAAAATTCAACTGCACATTCGGTACTTCTTCCTCTGACCCTAACCACCAGGCTAGGTCAGATGTCTGTTTAAAGGGGTACAGTTTTCCAAATGGTTGACTTTGTCCAAGACTTCAGATGCCACCTGCAGGTGTGGGGGTCTCCATGACCCTCCTCACTTCTGACTTGCTGGCTACAAATTTGGGGCTTTCCCACTGCCTCCTCAGGATGTGAGCCATAGCCCAGGGCCCCAGGGCCCCCCTCCCTCTGACCTGCTGGCTCCCACTACTTCCTTGGGTTCCGTAATTCACTAGGACGACTCATAAAAAACATTATCCTATATATATCCTATACATCATATAGTTTTATTATAGCAAAAAGGATACAAATGAAGTGACCCACAGAGAAAAGTCTGGGTGGGTTCCCAGTATGTACTCCCCACTTCTCAAAGGAGCCCTGGTGGCTCAGTGGTTAAGAGCTTGGCTGCTAACCAAAAGGTCGGCAGTTCAAATCCACCAGCCGCTCCTTGGAAACCCTACGGGGCAGTTTTATTATGTCCTATAGGGTCATTATGAGTAGGAACCAACTCAAGGGCACCTAACAACAACAACATTCCAAAAAGGGTCACATGTACCAACGTCTTTCATCAAGCAGGAAGTCCATGGAGCTTCCCTGTCCAAAGCCTCATTACACAGACATGACTGAATCATTCTGCAGCCCTCTTCCCGTGAGGTTGGCTGATATCAAGTGGTGGGTCTTTCCAACCAGGTCAGCACCACCCAAGAGTCACCTCATTAGCATAAACCCTTAGGTGTGATCTGAAGCTCTTACAGATAAAAGACACCTCAATCACTGGGGAAACTCTAAGGTTTTACAGGTTATTTCTCAGGAGCCAAGGACAAAGCCCAAATTCTTTGGGTAAACTTAAACTATAAACCCCACAATGGGTAAATTTAGAATTAGAGAAAGTATTTGTAAAAATGTATTCAAAAGTGAAAACATCCTCTTAGTAAACTTGTACCTGGGCTGTTTGCTGCATGGTAGCCTAGTCAAACCTAACAGATACTCTAATGTTTTTTATAATGAAAAAAATGAATGATGAGAGTTTCACCTCATTTTCCTTCCAGGGGAGATGTCCTAAGAAGCAGATCAACAGAGGTAGACATCAAAAAAAAGGAAGGGCTTGTACAATCAATCCAGAAAGCAGGTAACTTAACTGTGAATAATCCAGAATTGAGTAAATTATTTCCACTACTACATAGCCTCTAGCTTTCCAGCAATAGAGCAAGATAATTACTCTCAAGTCAGGCTGAGTGGTCCTCAGTCAAAATGGCCCAACACTGGCACACAAAAAATTCTCATACTAGTATAAAGGTGGCAACCTTCTTTGAAGAAATGCAGATAGCATAAACTTTTCAAAGACTTCCTGAAACTTTTTCTTTTTTTTTACTTTATAAGAAAAACAATATAAATAACAAACCTTTTCTAAGAAAAGATCCTTTTATAAACTTACCAGGTCCTACTCATCTTTGCAAAAAAAAAAAAAAGATCCATCGCTCTCAATCTACATGATTACAAGCCCTACAAACTGAACATCAAATTCTCTTTCCAGACCCTTTTTAAGGAATTTTTTAAAATCCTGGCTCATAGTTCTACATCTGGTGGTAAGGACATGCTCCACAAAGGATGAACGGTGTCAATATCTTCTCATTTCCTGCAGGCAGCAATACTTCTGTGTTAAAGACAAATGATCACTTACATTCTGATGCTGTCAAAATAGCACTTAATAATTATCATTGTGGTATACCTGTTTTTGGAGCCCTGGTGACGCAGTGGTTAAGAGCTACAGGGAGCTACAGCTACTAACCAACCAGGTCGGTAGTTCGAATCCACCAGCTGCAACCTGGAAACCCTATGGGGCAGTTCTACTCTGTCCTATGGGGTCGCTATGAGTCAGAATCCACTCGATGGCGATGGGTTTTATTCCTGTTTTCCAGAATGGATAAGATTAGACTAACTGCCAAAGGACCATCACTCTCGCATTCTTTGAATGACAAGATCAGGTGCTTCTAGACCATAAACTGGGTTTTACAATTCCTAAGTGATCATCAGAATTCCTAGCAAGCTGCAGGCTCTTTTAAATATCTAAGTCACACACAATTAGCTGTGGTCATCAGCTTCTGACTCTTAGGAGTCAGAACAGGCCCATCAATCTTGACATCTAAAAAGAACCAAAAGCTAAAGCTTTATAATTAAACAGATAAATAATTACGTATCCAGTACTAAGGGCAACAAACATGCTGTGATTCAGCAGCACATTCTTTTCCACTGAAAATCCATTCCCTTTTCTCTTTGTAGCTGAAAATTAAGTCATTATAACACAAAAGACTGTGTAAATCACACAAGCAATTTTGCTTTGTGCTAAACATCATAAATTATAAGGATATATAACCACAGTTAAACGGTAATATCACTATCATTATTACAATTTACAATTATTTTAAAATAGAATCAATTAAAATACAAAACACATCCAAACCACAATCACTGAAGACAAATATTTGTATATTTAGAGAATAAAAATGTCACCTTTCACTCATGAGCTCATCGGAGACTTTCTGCTCTTCATACTCCATTTTGTCCTTATTGGTCTGGCTTATTTCCTCACTGTCCAAAACTACTCCTTCATCTTGGATTTTTGGTCCTTGTCGAATGATTTTTAGTCTCCTTTTTTTGACTTTGTTCTTGGTAAACTCTTGGTACTGGTAAGCCCTATCGTTGTCCATGTCCTGATCTCTACAACCCTCAAGCGGCTGGGTCACCGTCCGTTTGTTAGAGACTTCCTGTGGCAGGTCCACAGCCATGCGTTTCACCTTTCTCCTCCGGCGCAGAGTTCTGTTCCCGAGGTTGTCCACAGCAAGATCAGACTCGTGCCATAGAGGTCTTTTCCCACGAACGTTATTATTTAAGTTTGATGATGGCCGGCGCTTGGCCACCAACATTTGGTCGTCTGAGTCACTGGGATCTTTTTTGTTGTTATTGTGATTCTCTCTATAGTCCTTGCTTGGTTCTTCTAAACTAGAATCAGAGCCTTCACTTAGGCAGTGACCAGTCTCCCACGGGTGATGAGCGTTATAGGACCTCCGTTTTCTCCCTCTCCTTTTCCTCGCCTGCCGTTTCAGAGGGCATGACAGACTTCGGGAATGGTCTCCGGTTTCAGCAAACCCACCCCGAGCTTGCTCTGAGCTCTCCTCCAACGCTGAGACAAGGTCATGAACCAGTTCCTCCATGGTTCGACTGAAATGCCTACATATTTTAGAGAAAAGAAAACAGTATTAACCTAGTTTTCTATAGCAGACAGAGGAGCCCTAGTGGCGCTGTAGTTAAAGCGCTTGGGTGCTAACTGACAGGGCTGTGGTTCGAACCTACCAGTGGCTCCACAGGAGAAAAGACTCAGCAATCTGCTTCCATAAGGATTACAGCCTAGAAAATCCCATGGGGCAGTTCTACTCTGTCCTATAGGGTAGCAATAAGTCAGAATCGACTAGACAGCAATGGGCTCGGCTATAGCAGACAATTCACTCTAAATTTGACTAAAATTAATAGTCATTACAAAGAAATGTTTAAAAGCTATTTAATTTTCCTATCCAAGACATGACAGTTTCAAATATTCTGACTCATTTTAAGTCCTTCCTTCCTGAATAAGTTTTTAAATTAAATAACAGAGGAATAACTTCAAGATAGATCATTGTATTTTTATGCAATAACACGCACCTTCTGCCTAATTTCCTTTTACAGCAACATGTGGAAGAGGACTGACAAGGCTGTGCATGTGAGGGGGCCTTGAGAGGGGCGGGTGAAGCCAACAAACTCAGAGGGTGTGCATTATTTCCATAAAAATACAGTAAGCGTAACATCAGCAATGAAAGATCCAGTGTTTTTATATGTTTACTATGTAATTATGGAAAATGTTCCTTTCTGCTTAACTCACTGCTCCTTCGTCTACTCCCACCCTTTTACCAGAGGAAGTTTCTTGCAGATGTAGAGATAACTTTCTCAGAATTTCTAAATGAAGAAGGAGGCCTGAAATCTTCTACTTCACTACATGCTGTACTCAGACACTGCCATGAAAGGTAGACAGAAAGACAAATAGGTACTTTCAAGATGTGTAACATGTGTGAAAAGAAAGTTTAACCAAATACTAGAAAGGCCTGGGCTATCTGCTCCCGTACAGATTACAGCCCAGAAGACCCTATGGGGCTGTTCTACTGTCACATGGGGTCGCTGTGAGTCGAAAATCGACTTGATGGCACCTAACAACAGGCATAGACACAGGCCACGCTAATCTCAGATAAAGCAGAAACTATGTTCACATTCACACTGGAGCCTCCCCGTCTAAAATCGTTTTTCTTACAACTGATTCTAAAGCAGTTTCTTAGGCTTTTTTTTTTAAATAAAGAACGTTGAAATACATTGCCAGGGAGTAGACTGTCCACTAGTCATAAAGGGTATTAATTAGCATCCTTGATGAACTTTTATAAATTATACTGGACTTTTCCAAATCTAACTGCCAAAGATTCTAAGTCAGTTGGCATGACACAGCGTCCAGGCCAACTGTTTTTATTTTGTCAACTTCTCAGGTGATTGATACATGCTCCTTTCACATGAAGTCCATGAACCACCAAAAGGAGCTCTAGAAGCACACAGGGATCAAAGCATTTTCAATAGTCCTATAGAGGCCTATCAGGAGCTCTGGTGGCACAGTGGTTAAAGTGCTCGGCTGCTAATAAAAAGGTTGGCCATTACAACCCACCAGCCACTTAACGGGAGAAAGATGTGGCCATCTGTTTCCATAAAGATTTACAGCCTTAGAAACTCTATATGGCAGTTACACTCTGTCCTGCGGGGTCACTATGAGTCAGAATGGACTCGACAGCAGTGGGCTTGGGTTTGGTATATGGTTTCTATGAAGCCATAGTGGCAAAGTAGTTAAAGAGCTTGGCTGCTAACCAAATGCTCGGCAGTTCGAATCTACAAGCCCCTCCTTGGAAACCCTATGGGGGCAGTTCTACTCTGTCCTATAGGTTCACTATGAGTCAGAACTGATTCGACGACAAGGGATTTGGTTTTTTTATATGGTTTCTAGAGTCTATAGCAAAGGTAGGCACATGTTTCTGTAAAGGGCCAAACAGTAAATACTTCAGGCTAAGCAGGCCATTACATGTCTGCAGTGAACTCTGTCATGGTGGTGCCAAACTAGCGTAGACCGTACGTGTGAATAAACGTGGCCGTACGGCAATAAAATTTTATTTACAAAAGCAGGTGATGGCAGGCCATAGTCTGCTGACCCCTGGTCTATAGTCTCTAGAGACACATATATGTAGTCTCCATAGTTAATAATCTCAGGCATTTGCAAAGTCTCTCTAACAACTTTTCAACATTGTCTGTTCGTGTTAATGATAACCTGAAAACAAACACACATTCTGATTTAACTAATTTATCATTTATAATATGATGTGCACCTACAGTTTTTAGCACTTAAGTGTTTACTACGTGCCAGGACCATTTCTAAGTATTTCACATGTATCATCTCACTTCATTCCCACGTAACTACCCTGTAAGGTGGGTACATGAAGACACAGAGACACAGAAAAAGGGTAATATGCCCAACAGGACACATCTAGTAGTGGAGACAGGATTCAAACTTGGCAATCTGGCTACAGAGGCTGCATGCTTACCTAACTATAGCCAAGAAGAGCTTTGTTAATTCCAGTACCTAGTTTGCATTTTTGTGTATGAGTGATTTAGCACCAGGTAGAAGCCCTGGTAGCATAATGGTTAAAGCATTCAGTTTGAACCCAACAGCCTTTCCACGGAAGAAAGATGTGGTTATCTACCCGTTGCCATCAAGTTGATTCTGACTCACGGCGACCCTATAGGACAGAGTAGAACTGCCCCACAGGGCTTCCAAGGAGCGCCTGGTAGATTTGAAGCACCGACTGACCTTTTGGTTAGCAGTTGAGCTCTTAGTCACTGTATCACCAGCCTTGGAAACCCTATGGGGCAACTCTACCCTGTCCTGTAGGGTCAAATCGACTGGAGAGCAATGGGTTTAGTGCTATTTTAATTGTAGAGACAGATTTAACATTCGTCTGCATAAAAGCCAAACGAGTCACAGTTAACATTTTACATTGTTTAGAATAGAACAAACGGTGGTATAGGCAGTGAGAGTGAGCTGAGCTCAAAAAACCAACGCCACGGTCATCAGTAAAACATACACTGAAAATATACGCTGTGAGCAATTAAGTAACCTGACATTAACCTTGGTTAATGAGGGTCTGTACTCTCCAGGTCTATCTCCTTTGGCATTTTGAATGTCTAAACAAAAAGCCTAAGTGTATATCTGTATTTCAGAAACGTGACAATTCAAATATGTATTTTAAATAAACTCTACAGGGCCAGTGAGATTTCTTTCAGAAGTTCCCGTATATTACTCAGGTTTGGGAACACTGTATTAGATTGCTAAACGGATCCCCTTTCCATCACCTATATGCTAATAATTGCCTTTCTGCTTTCTTTTTAATGCAGTGACTGTTATGTTCTTCTTCAGTGCTATTTCTTTGGAAGAAATGTAGTCTGATCTGAAATGTAAATTATCTATGAATATAATACTGCACCTTTAAAAAAATTCACTTGAAACCTGCTTGTTACATGTACTAAATAAGAATCCTTTGTCTAAATGACTCAGACTTTGTATCATCTGTGTCTGAAATAACTTAAGTTTTGAAGATACAATATTCTTATCAGCGGATGAATGACTAGTTTAAATATTAACATGAAATTAACTTAATGCATGAATATAATCTCCAAGTAAAACTGCAAGTTTATTTTGGAAGTTATAATTTGGTGCATTATTTTAGAAGAGAAAATTTGGTGGTCCTAGCATTAGAAAAAGGTTAGCATATCCCATTCAATCAATTAGAATATTCTACTCAAATTAGTTTTGTCTAAAAGGTATTGCTGTTACACATACAGTTTAACAAAATATAAACAGAAAGATTACAAAGAATGAAATCAAAACTTCTGCAGAACTTCATTAAAGTTGTGTCAGCTTTATTCAATTTCTATCCTATTTCTCTCAAGAGAAAATAAAATAGATCTTAAAAATATTTTAATTAGAAGAACTCAATTTATTCCACGGTATCACTCAAAAATCAATCAACTAAAAAACTACTTTAAAAAGCTTTTTTAAAAGCCCTCTAAATCAAAGAAAAAATACATCATATGTAAGTGTTACTCAGAGTTCAAATCACTTTTTTCCTCTTCATTTTCAACTAACTACAGATTCTTCTGCAAGCTGATCCCAAAGCAACACCATTGCTAACTGGCCAGTAGTACTACAATCAGTTAATGTCAAGCCACTTTACTGACATCTCTCAGATAAAACTGGCGTCAACTGGCCTCACAGAAATAAGTCCTTGCAGGAGACCATCACGTGATCAGTGGGTCGTTAATTTGTTTGCCGCAGCGGTTAAGGTGAAGCATCAGGAGAAGATCCCTGCATTGAGACATTTCATCCCAAAGATATTTTCTTAATTCAGACCATTCCCATTAGAGGGAAAGCCTGGAAATACAGAACTTCCCTGTACAAAAATCTTCACTTACTGCGCATCCTGCTTTTTACTGTTTGAATTATACTCAAACTTAGTGAATTACCACTTAGCGAATTTGAGACTTTTTATGCACATTTATAAAACAATTTCTCTTCACTGCTAATTCATCTGCAAAAGAAATCTTTCAAGAATAATTAGCATTGGGTACAATGTCCAAGATAATAGTTTACTAACAGTTTTCTTAAGATAGTCCAAATGAATAGAATCCCATAAAACAAAATTATAGTGCCATTATCTACATAAATTTGATTTGGTAAGAGAAATGACTTGAGTAGATAAGCACCTTGTTTTTTCGGGTAGTTATTAGATTATACTCGGCAATATAAAATGCACGATCAATCCAAGATTTGATGTCATTTTTTCTTAATTTATGTGGTTGCTTTACTTATTTTTTAAACTGCATTTAAAATGTTTTTTGAGCTGAAATTTACATACCGTGAAATTAACTATTTCAAAGTAAACGATTCAGTGACATTTAGTACCCCCACAATGTTGTACCACCGCCTTGCCTATCTAGTTCCAAAACATTTATCACCCCGAAAGAAAATGGTACCCAGTAAGCATTTACTCCAAATCTCCCGTCCCTCCAGCCCCGGGCAGCCACCAATCTGCTTTGTATTTTTATGGATTTAC